AACAGGCCCGATGTAAATAAGGAAAAAACGTACCTAGCGCGTGTCCGTCTTCTTATCTGTACCTACCGACTCTAGGGCTATACCCCTCCTCCCGCTCTCGATGCGTCCGTTTGACGCTCATTTTCCTGTTCATATGCTCCTCACGATGGGTGGTCGAGGAAAACGGCGTGCGGAATCCGAGATAAGACTGCCGGTCGGTGCGGGAGTTCCCCTGATTTGTTCACTCGAGTACTGAAATGAGGAATCTTTCTGGCTTTTTATCGCCAAATAATTGAATCTTCACTTAGCTTTTTTGCGAAAACGGTGCATCGTAGAAAGTTGGCGCAATTATAACTTTTGATCAGCATCTTGAGGAGAATCGAAGTACATAAGTCAGAAGGCAATCGGTCGTGGTGCAGCTTCCCATAAGAGGTGTGCGGGGTCCTTTCATGAAAGATTATAAAAAGGAATTTCATTTAACCCGCAGAATTCAGGGTTAAACCCTTGAAACTTATGAATCTCCTTAAGTTAATTTATATGCACGTGGTAAACTATGAAAGGGAACTTTAGAAATGCCCAGAAAGTTGCGTAAAACAGCAAAAACATAATTTTAAATTTTTTTTCTTAAATTTTGGTTGAACACACAGCTGTACCGGTTAAACACCAAAATAAATTTTACGAATAAAGTAAGACGTTAGCTTTCATATTTGGAGCAAAACAAATTTCTTGACTATAAAGAATCCTAGTACCCCCTTATAGTATATCCTTCTTTTTTGGTACAAAAGGGAGGGAGGGATCTTGAACTATCCTTGAAACAATTTAAATGATTTTTTCAGAAATTAACAGTCTGAAATTTGAGGTTAGGGTCCCCGGTCCCCCTCCCCTTGATGAGCCTGAACTGCCAGAAGAGAAAGAGTAAGAGAAGACCAGAAGAGAAGAGCTGAGAGAAGACCGCGCTCCAATTGGTCTTAATGACGAATATTATTCTCTTTAAAAATAAAAACCAATTCCGTAAGAAAAATTAAGCATTTTTGACATTTTGTCGGTCGGAAGAAATTTCATTGGGAAAAAAGAAATTTCATTCGATGAAATTTCTTTTAGCAACTCTGGACACGACATCTCAAGGCGAAAAAAATCTCCCGGAAAGCGAATTTTAGAATTCTACACAACCTGACGTAGAGACATGATTGGCTAAAAAACACAACGATTTTTGATACATCCGAAAATGAACCAAAGACCGAGCACTGGGCATTTCGCTCAAGGTCAGAGAGACGTAGGGAATTACATCGCCGTAGCAGCGGAACGATTGCAAAGACATCAGGGGAACTCCGTTCCCTTGACAATAGAACGATGCTATAACTCTCGTGTAGGGCTTCTCATTCTGAGAGTTGAGGAACGGCGCAACCCTGGAACGGGGATATCCCAACGCCGGGCCAAAGGTTTTTACTCATTTTTTCCTCGTTCTTCCGGCTTCGATTGTGGCATTAGTCAATACTTGATTTTCTATTAATATTAGCAGCAGATACAAAAAGTGAAGGCAGGCGCTGCGTCACGTCGGGGCCGACCAAATATTATTAACTCTCAATAGTCGTCATCCGATTTTTTTTTCTCTAAGTAAGCATCTAAAAATAAGCTTAGCCGTCAATATAATGCCACTATTAATACCAAACCATGTACATCCAGCAATTCCTCATCATTTGCAACCCTGAGTGTTACGTTAAAAATTTTGAAATCGATGCAGCTCAAACACAAAATGGTGTATTAAAATGGAAGAACATTTTTGCCTATACCTATGTTCAAAGGGCCCGCGAAGCGGGTCCTAGGGCGTGAAGCGCCCTCCAGGGTACAGAGCCCCCTAATATACATATCGACGGTGAAAGTCGGCAATCACATAACTCGGTTTGCGACGTCGCAGACTTCCTGTCATACTTTATTTTTTAAATGGAAAACTACTCAACGGCAATTCTTTAAAACTGTCATGATCTTTCTTTTCAATGCGAAGAAAATTCTGCAAAAACTTCAAGAAATAATATAAATATGTTCTCCTATATAAAAATGACGTAGAGGCGGAGATTTTCAGACACCGCAAACGAGTTATGTGATTGCCGACTTTCATCGTCGATATGTTTGCGGTGTCTGAAAATTTCCGCCTCTATGTTATTTTTTTGGAGGAGAACAAATTGACATCATTCCTTGAAGATTATGCAGAATTTTCTTCGCACAGAGAAGAAAAACTACGGCAGTTTTACAGAATTGCTGTTGAGTAGTTTTCCGTTTGAAAAATAATGTATGATTGGAAGTCTGCGACGTCGCAAACCGAGTTATGTGATTGCCGACTTACACCGTCGATATGTATGTTACCGTTAAAGTGCGTTGCTTATTCGTTATTCTAGATATTAACTAGTTCAGCAATGTACGGCATAACTGAGGAGACTTGTTAGAGTATGGAACCTACGACTATTATGTACTTTAATATTTATTCTATAGAATGACAAACGACTCACGGAGAAAGTGTGCAGTGTTCATATACGAGACCCACGCATCTAGGGAATGCGGGAGCGGAGGAAGGGGCGTGGTGATTGAGGAATGCCTCTTGATAAAATTGTGGAAGGTAATAGGTTTTCGTATAAAGTAAATAAATGTGTAGTAGTAGTAGTAAAATAATTTTATTTTAAAGCGGTGCTTTAGCATCTAAGGCCAATTTGAAGGAAGAAAGAAAGTAAGTACCTAGTAGTAGTAGTAATTTAATTTTATTTGAAAGCGGTGCTTTAGCATCGAAGGCCATTTACACCTCTAAAGAAGGCAGTAATAGTAATAAATTTACATGGAAATTAAGGTTACATCAGTAAAAATACAAAAGGTTGAGGGAAACCCTGGTAAAAATGGCAAGTGCTCAGATCAGTAGCACTTGCCTTTGGAACAGACCTAAGCACTGATGTCAGTGCTGCCGGGCGCTGATCTGCTACCTCAGTGTTAGGTCTGTTCCAAAGGCAAGTGCCTCTGATGTAAGTGGCACTGACCTAAGTGTCTCAGACGTAAGCGGAGTGGAAACTCCCAGAAATACTGTACAGGCAAAAATTTCGTTAATTACCGATCTGCCAGGTACGTTAAGTCACTATTTGACGATCAGGGAGGGCTGCTGTGAGTTTTTAGTCCCAAGCAAGTATCACAATCTTCAGGGGACATCGCTCGTTCCCATGCGGTCTCCAATCTAAGTATTAACTACGCCCGACGTAACTTAACTTCGGTGATCGTCCTAGCGATTGAACCACTACACTACCTGCGCGTGTACGTGTTAGGGGCGTAATTATACCATTTCAGGGCCCCCATTGGGGTAATTTTGCCAGCAAATGATGATTTTGTCTTTGAATGTGAATCCGATACTTAATTTTTCTATTATTCTTTTTTAATCAATCAACATGTAAATGAAGTTTTGTAAGTTACGTTTCTTTGAAAAAAAAATGGATCGCACTAAAATTCAAAATTAAAGCTAATGATGCAAAAAAAATAATGAAAGTTGAAATTATACAAAAAATATAAATTAGCAGATACAAAAATTGAAAGTAAAGGAGTAAAAAAGTTAGAAAAGAATTGAAAATAAAGTAGGAAAATTTTAAAAAAAATTGAGACTGAAACATTTTAAAAACAGTTAAAACTGAAAAAAATTAAAACCAAATTTAAAACTATTTTTTTTATAAAAAAATAATAATGCTTAAATAAATTTATCTAAATACATATTTTAGCGGTGATAATATTTTTATCGATCTCATATTTTGTTGTGTTTTAATTATTTAAGTGCCATCTTAAACGAAGAGGGTAAAACAAATTATTCAAGAGTGTGGCTACTTAAACTAGTTTTCCTTCCCTCTTAGAAAATCCCACCTTCTACAAAATATGCCTCTCTGAAAGATAAAGTTTGTGGTCCCCGTGTCCCGAGGAAATATTCCCCCACGAAAATGAAATAGGGTGGGGGAAGGGGGAGCCACCTCTACTTTTTAGGAGTGAGTGCGGTTCGATTAAGACTGAGGTCAGAGTCTTACCCTCTGAACCAAGTCCTGACCTCAGTCCCGCTTACCTCAGAGACATCTCTGCACTTAGGTAAGTCTTTCTCCCGACGTCAGTGCCTCTTACCTCAGTGCTGACTTCTTGGGTAAGTGCTTTAACACTAACGTCAGAGAAAACTGAACTGACCTCAGAGCAAATTGCACTGACCTCAGTGGAAAATTCACTGACCTAACACTTGCCATTTTTACCAGGGAAAGGTTAAATTTTGAGATTAGTGGAGCGCATAAATTCAAAAAGTTTTACAGGATGAGTATTCAGAAGTAAAGAAAGAAAGAAAGGAAAACAAGTATTCAAACATGCCTGGAGAAGAGTCCCTTCTTCTGTTGTCAGTCCTAGGCTTAATGTTTAATTCTAAATGTCATTCCTCGTCTTTCTGCAAAAGTAAATACATTTTCTTTTGACGTCCACCGAAATTTTCACTTAGGAATAAACAGTATTGTCTTAGTTGATAAAATTTTGTACCTAAAATTTATTTGACGTTCACTGCACATTTCGTCATCGGTATGCGTCGCGTTGCCCTTTGCGTCGCTGGTTTTCTCGGTATATTATGCGACAATCTTGAATTCATACCATTAAACCCTTTCACTAATGGGCTTCTGACAATCTACCAAAGAACAAGTACTTAATTCTCTGCAATAACTAGTTAAAATATGAAATAGGAATGCAGTTTCATACTTTAACTGAAACCGCACGATATCCTATACATTTACCATAGTTAATGTATCTTACATATAAACTGGATTACGCACTTTAACTGTAACACATAAGTATAATTTTAAATAGTAATATATGTACACATTAAACAGGTACTTATTAAGAGCCGTCGTAATAATCACTTAAAATAGAACCGATAAAACAAATTACTCACAAATATTTAATGAAGTTCCCAAAATATTACGGAGAGTTATAGAAAAATCTTGAGAAGAACTGATGCAAAATTACTCTGAAAACATTACCTTGAAGAGGTATTGAGGTGGAATTTTGAATGGACTCGTCACATCTTTGTCTTCGTTCTTGTATTATTTCAAATAAGGATAGATTCCCATAGAATTGGTCCGTTTCCATTCGTCTCTGAAACAAAAATATGATATCAGTATGAATTAAAAAGAGGTTGAAAAGAAACGATTTCTAAAACTGCCTCAATCGTAAGGGACCTTCTTGCATAAAAGAAATACGGATGAGGGCGTAAGCTTTTTGAAGGTAAAATCGATCGATAATCGCAGTTAGGGAATCGAGAAAATGTATTTAAAGAAAAAAAACCTTCGCACGTTATATTTTTTTCTTCTTAAAAAATATTTAAAATATTTGTTGACAGTATGAGTGGCTTTGCATCTAAAAAATGTCAACGAGTCATGCGGAACTACCTAAATGTTAGAAGGTTCCGTCCCCTGGCCGCTCCCCAGCCTACCGCCCACCCCCGTGCTTTATTTTCTCAATTTATGATGAGTTATCTCTAAATCTTTTCTTTGATGTATTGGTAACATGATTTTCAGTTAATTATTGTAAAAGCTCATTTGGCTTTACGGATAAGTTCTAAATTCTAAATTTTAGAAATTGCTTCAAGATGCTTCGGTGCCAGAAGTAAACAAGCAGGAAAGTCCAACACGAGGTGTTGGATAAGCGCGGCATAATCATGAATAATCCTAATTTAACCGAGGATTTATGGGAGGAAAAGAAAGTTTAATCGATGAGTGACAACTTGAACTTATTAATAGAGGGAAGCTATGAAGTATATATGGTGCCAAAGGAAAACAAAAACATTTCCATGTAAATATGAGCTGCGAAGATAAAAATATAAACATTCGTCGCATAAAATAAAATGATATCCCAAATAATGGATGTCAAGTTAAAATTTATTAATTAAAAGTCGATTAATTAAAAGTTTTAATTAATTAATGAAAAGTTTAATTAAATTAATTAATTAATTTAAAGTTTCTCCTGTCTTCAACATTACTATCGTAAAAACGCAAAATATAGACAAAAAATTTAAAAAATTCGATTCAAACTTATCAATTTTTTTCGTAGTTCAAAGTAACTTCTGTCATCACAGCTTGCGTTTGGTTGATTTACAGTCAGCAGCAAATAAAGTGAACGTTAATCTGACCCTATGAGAGAGTTTCAGCACAACTCATACACTGAAATAAAGGTTACTAAATATAAGACGGAGCCGCCTTGGACCAAGTAACCGTTTACTCAAAAAGTATCGACTAGTGACGGAAGTTTGTTCCAACAGAACAGAGTTCGATTTGATCAAGTACTTACACGGGTTACCTCAAACTAGCAATCCAAGTGTATTTAGAGTGAGAAAACGTTTACTTAAAAGTAGAAACATTCCGAGACGCGAAAATATTTACTGAAATTATGTATTCACCTTCGGTTTAAAAGGAGTAGGTACCTTCGATCTTGATCTAAGTCAACCGTTTACTTATAATCAGGAAACAGTTGCGTGTCTCTCGTGCGCGTTCACTGATTACAAGCAGACGATTAGTTTAAAATTAGTAAACGACCGAGCGTCCTGCCGGAATAGGTTTTTCCCAGGCGCGTTTACTTATTTCTATCCAATCCTATTTATTAAAATGCAAAGTTCCGAATCTTGGGGCATTAACTTTGAGAGAACCACCGGACCGATTTGCGTGATCTTTTTCTTAAATGAAAGCCCCTGAGCTGTAGATTTGCAGGCTGTGATCGTTTTTTTGATTTTCTCAAATTTTCTCCCATAATTTTCTCAAATTTTCTTCGATGCATTAAAACGGAGGTCCGAATCTTTGGACGTTAACTTTGAGAGAACCATCGGACCGATTTGCATGATTTTTGTTTTAAATGAAAGCCTGTGATCTGTAGATTTGCAGACTGTGATCGTTTTTTCGATTTTCTCAAATTGTCTTACTTTTATCGACGAGTGAAGTTTAGCTGGGCTCAAATTTTCTCCCATTTATTCAGACTAAAGTCCGCATTTTGGGACATTAACTTTGAGAGAACCACCGGACCGATTTGCATGGG